TAAAGGGCAAATTTGGATTAGTATGTTGTATAATACTCACCTATTGTCATTTATAAACTATTTATTATGGTAGCATCATGTGAAACAAGCCAATTGTGATATATTCAGTAAACCACAGTTAAACAATAGCTTAGTAATGATATGTAAACCCAACCAATATAAAGCAGTAGGCTGTACTCGAATGGACTTGATATCCCTGTGCACGCTGTTGCAAGGTGAAAAACTGGAGGAGTCAACATGGAGTACAGTAAATTTAGTAGCCTATGTTCTCTGTTACCTAGGAATACCATATCAGATCTGTAAAAATTAAGAGAAACGCTAGAGGGTCCTTTGTTGCCATCTAATAGTTGTCTGGATTTTGGCAGTCTAAAGCAGTAGGCTGTACTCGAATGGACTTGATATCCCTGTGCACGCTGTTGCAAGGTGAAAAACTGGAGGAGTCAACATGGAGTACAGTAAATTTAGTAGCCTATGTTCTCTGTTACCTAGGAATACCATATCAGATCTGTAAAAATTAAGAGAAACGCTAGAGGGTCCTTTGTTGCCATCTAATAGTTGTCTGGATTTTGGCAGTCCAAAATATAGTAGTCCTAAGGTCACTACTTTTCAAGAGACATCAGCTAATTCTTACATGTTGTATTTAGATTGGTTTTATGATCTCTCTAAAATGTATTTGAAAATTTCAAATAAAACTTTGCTGCAGTTTCTGCGTATCTGAGAATTATTTACTGTAATTCTGAATCGAGGGTCTCAACTCAACCATGTGTGGACATGATATATATATAATGAAATTGATTAGTAGCTGATTTTTATTGTACAGATGCAACTAATTGACATATTTTTTTTCTGCCTAGAAATAACACTGGCATAGACTTAAACCCATAGCGCTTATATATGATCCCATCTTGCAGGTTCATACTATAGTGTAGTCTTCTCCAACCTAGTCCCAATCTAGTACCAGTTTCAGAGTTGAAGACCTACCATACTGGAATTGTACCAGATCAGGGGACTACTGCAACACAGTGAACATTGTGCATCTGTACTGATCCCAGCAATGCTAAGCACTTGTATGATTCTATAATACTGTCTTACTTTGAACCCAGAGCCCATTTATTTCTAAATCTGCATTTCAAAAAGAAACACACCAAGACTGGTTTCCCATAGACTACAGAAGGTCTGCAGAGTTTGGGAGGAGCGGTCAATTTCCAATGATGGCAACTCCTGACTTACCATCCCCTCCCCCTCTGCCGCCTTCCAGTTCCTGAACTCTCCCTGTTCTGTGCAGAGGTGAAGCTGCATGACTCAGAGGAACAATGCCTTGGCATGGCAGCTGACAAGAAAGCCTGATGGCAAATGACCAGATGTTTTAAATGCCAAAGAAACCATAGATGGTGGTGGTGAGGAGTAGAGCACTGGTTGTGTGCTGTTTCTCTTTACACCCTTCTGTTTGTCAGCTGGAGGGTGCACCGACTGCTTCACTTGGCACTCTGCATTTTGTGGGCGGTGACAGTGGGGGTGACTACTGCTGAGTTTGAAGCTCTGCATTTGTGGAACATCAACAGTGATGTGATTCCAATATTTCAGGAGCAGGAGAGATATCAAACACTACCAAAATGATAAGGGTGATCTAGGAAACAGTTCTTCTACCCATGCTGAGCTTGGCATGAAACTTTCTTAAAACTATGAAATTTCACAGATACAAAGGCCATTGGAATCTGTGGATCAAATAGCTGAAAGTCTGCTGACTGAAAGTAACTTACAGACTTTCATTCAATTCCTTTTCCGTGCTGCTGTCCCAAACAGCCGTGGGAAGAAGGCAGCATTTTTTTGTTATCCCTCTTTGTTCTTGATTCCTAAAGCCTCCAGGATGTTTTCTTGTTCCCAAACATGCTACAGCTTTAAAGGCTAGAACCATAGGCAATTCCCATGAAGGAGGAGTGTCTTCAGTAAAGCCGGAAATCTTAATTTGATAGAAAAGTTTAACCGTGTCTATGGAATCTTATAATTTCTAAAGCAGCTCAGAGAGGATGACCGAAGCAGATTGCTTAGGTTAAACATACATCAGCGGATTCCAACTGCTTTGATTTATTTATTAAAGTCCTATCTTTGGAATAAAAAAAAGTTACTCTTGAAACCTGCAGGGATTTTTTTAAAATACTCTTTCCAGATGTTTTCTTTGTGTTTTTTTCCCATATGAGTTGGATCCAAATGGTTCCAGGGCAATAAACATTTTTAAACATATTATTTTAGAACTGTGCACCAGTGATCATGTTATCCTCCCCTGTCTTGAAATTAATGAAGGATTTGCGCATTTCAAAGCCTCAAGTTCTTTACTCAGAGCAATTTGCAGCAGATGATCTGCTGATGTTTAATGTGCTTTATAATGTGGTTTTAGATGACAAAGGTTTAGCCTACAATTTTATACTCATTCATCTTACAGTAAGCTAAATTCATTGAAGCCACTAGGGCTTACTTCTAAGTAGTTATGCCTCTGGACAATCCAAAGGCTCACACAACATGTACGTTTTGCTAGATCATACTTAATAAAACTATCCAGGTCTTTGGATTTGACTCCAAAAAGATGCTTAGGATTGTGTAGCAAAGCATCTATCTGCAACTCTTTAAAGCAGCTGCATCTTTCCCCAAAAGATTGCAAAACTGCTTTAAAGAGCTATACATGTCTGTGCATGTGCCAAAGCACCTTTTGGGAAGTGAATCTAAAGTACTGCATATTATTTGTCTTGAGCAAAAGGCCGTCATATCATTCAGACTGAAATGCCATTTTTCAGCTAATGTACCCGTAGTTTAAAAATGGTTATTTAGGTGGCAGTTAGCATATAAGTTTTTCTTTTTCATTTTTTAAAATTCTTTACCTCAGTTTAAAGTGAATTGGGATTTGATATTTTCTGTGATACTCAGAAGTCAGGATACCCCCCCCACACTTTTTTTTTTTGGAGAAATGTCAGATCTATCCTTCATTCGACAAAGGAACAGATTATTTTTCATGTTAGATGACTGAGTACTGCACATTGAATCAGCATAAATAGCAGCGGCACATAGAACAATCCGTAATTCAAACAATTATCATAGACAAATAGGTCAAAGCAAGTTGGGTTTAATACAGTTAGCAGGTTGGCAAATTTTTTCAGCAACCAATGGCTTTGAATGCCTATTTGGCACCAGTTCGCTTCTTCTTAAGTAATCCTCGAAGTATTTTTTTATTGCTGTTCAAAAGAATTACAATTACCAATCAATGCACAGATTCCTACAGTAAAAGTAATATCATTAATTATGAGAACAGTGTTTGGTTCTAATACAATGAAGTATTCCATTGCCCTGTGAATTTTGTTCTAACACTGTTCTCTTTATTTTAATCAAGTCTTTGTGTACTCTATGCCTTGGATGTGATTAAGTCAGGATATAGAAGGGTGTGTCTGTTTAGTTCCTGCATCTTCAAGAATAACTCCAAAAAGTAAAATGTGTTCTGAATTACAAATTTCCGCTTACCCACCACATCAAGTGTGATATTTAGAACACATACTATTATCCAGGTATTAGTTGTGTTCATATAAGCTTAGTCTCATTTGGTATTTTCTAGGATTTATTTGGGAACCACTATACTTGGGGCTTTTTCTGGCTTGCACATGACCACTCAAAGGACTTGCTCCAGCAAACTCTTTTTTCCTCCCAGTGTCCCCATGACATTGCTTTCACCTTGTCCCCAATCCATTCTTGTCATAGCTTACCATTATCTTTAGTTCTGGTATTAAAGTGGCATTTCCCTCCCCCCCCTTAAGGACCCCAAAATCTGCAGAAGTTTTACTGTGGGAACCATCTGATGTGCTTCACTGAAGGTTTTGTCAGTTGTGTACATGCTGTCCCTCAGGTCCCTGCACACTATCCTTCCAGCTATCCTGCTTTGGGCAGTGGGAGAGTCCTGTTCTTTCAAATGGGGCTCTTCCTCTGATCCCCACCTCAGATAGCTGGATCAGCCAGAATAGCAGATGATCAGAAGTGCCTGGGAAAGAGCTTCATGGGGAAACAGAAGAGAGTGAACTATTTCTCTCTCCCCACCACCCCCAGGCCATTCATGGTGGAACCCTCCATCCTTCACTACACATACCGGCGGCTGTGTGGGCTGCTTTTGAACATGGCTTTGCTGCTCTTTCAGAAGAGCACTAAAAGACCAGAGTTCTCTTTTGCCAGAGCAGTGAACCATCATTCAGAAGCAACTCAGAGGGCAGCTGACAAGTGATAGAGTTCCACGGAGAAGCAGT